AAAGGATATATCGCTAGCTGACATGTTTTATGCACGCATCTCCAAATGAATCCTGGCTAAAACTGCTTAAGAAGTTACTGCCTCTATCAAAAGCCACTACTCTCACAGCACAGTTGGCAGAACATAACTTTTGTCCGCACTTGTTGATTTATGTCAAAGCTCAGCTGTTTAAAGTGCTGACATAGGTGAATGCAAGATAACATCCCAGGCTCTCCAGTGAAGTAAATGATGGAGGCACTAGAGGGCACACTGTATGGTAGTCACTTGTGCAAGGAAGGTTGATTGAGCAGCAGGTGAGCTGGTAAGAGCCAACAGCTGTGCCAATTTGAAGCAAGAGTGGAATTAAGCAGTGCAGCTTTGCACCTTCATTCAACTAGTATAAAAATCACTGATGCATGCAGTGCGTTTGTACTTGGAGATCTGAGCTTCATCACTAGTGCAAAAGCATAGTGCTTTCCTTGCTCTTGCTGGGATTCAACATGATTCAGTTCACTGACTGCCACTTCAGTTTCTTCCAAAGGGCAGTTCTCAAAAGGCCAGAGCTGTTGTGATACCAGACTTCTGTTTATGCTACATGACTGCCACCTCTCCACAGCTAGCATATAGTTCAGACCCAGTGTCAAAATCAGAGGGATGGCTATATATCATATCTTTTCTTACAAGTACTGTCTCACTAGAGTAGTCCAAAAGAACATGATCTGTCTCCTGAATAAACTGCCTGGAGATCACTGTGTAGGTGGGGTTTATTCTTAGATGCACAACTGGCAAATGTAGTGTTGCCTATGCTAGACTATTAGACACACAGCTTAATCGTACTGTAATAGTTCTTTAATGCTTTCTGGTGTGCTAAAGTTTTTTTTTGAGCTTCAGTTGCAGCCAACGTTCTCCCACTTGTTACCTACTAGAAGGTAAGCATACTGATCACCCAAGGTAATTTATTAGTTAACCACAGTTTAAAGACATACAGGAGCTACTCTGCTAGAAACTGTAAAGCAGCAGTCTTGTTTGCTGACTATTGCAAAAATTGTATTCTGAGAATATAACTGGACCAGGAGAGCATCCATGTACCTTTGAAATCCTGTGCTGTCTCTGAAACCATCTTAAATGAATTCAGGTATTTCAGTTTAATGTTTCAAGACCTTTCATTTTTGAAATACGAAAGAGAGCCAACTGCTGAATGTCCTTTAGTAACACTGAAGGAAAGAAGTGCAGCACAGCAGAACAGCTGTTCCCCCATTACGTGGGATAGGAGAACGGTTAAACTGTAGGATGCTGTAATCTGGCTGGGGTAAAAATCAGTCCAGCAATAAATCCGTGCTAAGATAACTGACTCTGATTTGCAGCACTATCTTAATAAAGAGTTGGCTATTCTAAAGATAGTCAACAATTTGCACATGTAGATACAAAATCATCAGTTTTGGCAAGCTGTTTTATTAAAATGGATTTTGAGCAGAAAAAAACTAAGCTGGAGAACCTTTTTTTTTTTTTTTTCTTTTGGCTTTTGCATAGGAGAACTTGCAACCTTTCATCCTTTAAATTTTGGAAGAAAAAATGTGTCTTATAGTTGTATCTCTCACTCTTTTAAAATAAACTTTCACCAAGTGGTGATAAGCACAAGTTAGTAGGTTACCAAAGACCAGAAAGGAAGAGATGAAGTTAGAACTTTCAGTGAAGTGACTGCAGAAGCATGACGGGATAGCCAGCTCCCCACTGAACACAGAACGTTGTAGAAGGGAATAGAGCTATAAACTGAACAAAGAAAAGTCTCATGTAGCCTGTATTTGTGGAATTACAGCCCTAACTCCACACTTGGAAAATTATGCAAGTGCAAACTTGTTAAGAGAACCTTGCGTAAGATTACTGTAAATTCAAATAATTCTTATAGAAATAATTATTAAACACTTCCCATGTTCTTTAAAAAAGAAAACAATGTTAATTTTTTTTTAATGGTATTGTGATTTACCATTTACATAGATGCAAAACAGCCTACCTGTGGCGATGTGTGACTTGCAAAAAATATGCTTAAGTTCACATCAGGAAAATACTTTTTTAAATCTTCACTGTAGTCTATGTTTATTTTGCTTTACCTGTGAGATGCTGCATCTGAAATTGGTTCTGAAGTATCAGAGTTTCTTAATATTGGCTTATTTTTAATCACAGCTGGGAACACCTCAGTGGAAAGTTATGAATAAGAGTCAGAGACTATGACTTCTTTCAGCTTTTGGAGAGAAGTAAACATTGCTTAGTCTGAATCTGCGGCATCTAATTTGCAAACTACCTGGGATGCAGTATGGCCTGACCCAAGAATTAGAGATGTATTTATTTTTAATTCCTGTTAGTTGTATCCTGCAAGTGTGCTGTGACATTCTTTGAAAACCCAAGTTGTTGAAATGGCTAAGGGTGACTGCACTTCTACTTACACTCATGTAGCACACTCACCAAGGGATGATTCCATCCCCTTAGGCCTGTATTTTAATTCAGACTAGAATAGTGTGATTTGGTATGTTTACTTAAAAAAATACTCAGATGCTCATGTTTAATAAGTTGAGAAGAATATGACAAATTCAGAAAGCATGTTAACTAAAATAAATTACTTCAGTCCCTCTACTGTGAGACAATGTTTTTATAATTAAACTACAAATACGCAATCGTGAATCACTCTGATGGTACATTATGTTATTCTGAATTGTAGATATGACTAAAATACATTTTAGTGTTAGTAGTGTGTACAGGGTTATAAACTCCTCAACTTTTACATACTGGAAACAGTTCTTTAAGTATTTCCATAGGACAGGGTAAAATGCAGGCATGCTGACAATGCTGTACAATAAGAGATTCATGAAACCCACATGTCACGCATCAACTGATGAAAAGTCTCGATTTTTGTTTTTAAGATTATTTTTTTTTTAAGCATTCAAACAGGTCCCATATAGTCTATAGCTTTGAATTTTGTCTGGTTTCTTCAATAGTACTATATTGTAATCTACAGTAACTGGGCTGGTTCTCTTTCCCTTTCTTTATGTATGGATATTTGCACTAGAGGTCTTTGAAAAACCTGTTTAATATAGGACCTCTTACATGTTGCAAGAGACTGATAAAGCAGTATTTTATTGAACACAAAACTTTCATTCTGATACTGGCTTTTTTCTTGGATTTTCTGTCAAAAAGACTGGAGACAAAGACATCTAATGCTGCAAAGACTGATATGCTTAGATTTAGTTTGTTATAGTTCTTATTATTTTAAGTTTTCTCATCAAAGTCAAAGTCATTTTTGTAATTGATTAATACAGAATCCAAATGTAAATGGGGTTTTTGCCCACATTTATTTCCAGTGAAAAATATTTTAATTCCATTTTGTTGGGGTTTTTTTTGATTGAACATATGAACTTTATACTTGTTCTCCTGGTCCATAAGTAGCAGCTTTACTATGACTATATTCAAAAGTCTTGCTAACATGTCAGTAAAGATCAGTAGGTTTACAGTCTGTCAACTTGTAAGCATCTTTAGTTTAGTTTTCTTCTTTTCCTCCCACCTCTCTTTTTCTTTAAGTAGAATAAATAATTTATCTTTTTGTTTGTCCAAACTGAAACTTGTAGTTTTCTGACAGCTTCTGTATTAATTCTCACCTCAGTAACACCTTCTATTAAGGCCATAGTTGATAAGCCTCAGACTTTTGTTCCACTGACTGCAGCTAAGAAACCACTTTTGACTCCAGGTTATCAGGGAATCATAGAATAGTTTGTGTTGGAAGAGACATTTAAAGGTCCTCTAGTCCAACCCCCGTGTGATGGGCAGGGACATCTTCAGCTAGTCCAGGTTGCCCAGACCCCCATCCAACCTGGTCTTGAATGTTTCCAGGGATGGGGCATCCACCACCTCTCTGGGAAACCTGTCCCTGTGTTTCACCACCCCCATCATAAAAAATTTCTTCCTTTTATCTAGTCTAAATCTACCTTGTTTTAATTTAAAACCATTACCACTTGTCTTATCGCTACAGGCCCTGCTAAAAAGTCTGTTTCCATCTTTCTTCTAAGTGTCTTTTAAATATTGAAAGGTCACAATAAGGTCTCCCTGGAGCCTTCTCTTCTCCAGGCTGAACAATCCCAATTCTCTCAGAGTTGTTCTCATAGGAGAGATGTTTCATCCCTCTGATCATTTTTGTGGCCTCCTCTGGAACTGCTCCAACAGGCCCATGTCTTTCCTGTGCTGAGGACTGCAGATCTTGATGCGGTACTCATGGTGGGGTCTGGCCAGAGTGGAGTAGAGGGGCAGAATCACCAACCTTGACCTGCTGGCCACACTTGTTTTGACGCTTCCTGAGGTTCACATGGGCCCACTTCTCAATCTTGTAATGGTGATGTTTTCTGATTACTGGCATTTGCTAAAATGGGGAAATACCTAATTGGGGGAAAATTTTTAATCAATGGTTGAAAAAACATTGGATGAACAAAGCATTAGTTTAGTCTGTATTCAAAGAATTTAAAAGCATGATCTGAACCAAGTTAACGTGGAGCAGCAGGATGTGAATCATTCCCTTTTTGATCTTCTGTGTACCTTTTTCAAGCATTTTTCAAGCATTTTCCATGCAAGCTCTTGCCCCCCTTTTGTAAAACCCTAATAGTTAAGGGAAGTCCAAAGTGACTAATAGGAAACCTTGAGAAACACTCCCTGTTCCTGGGAGAATTATTCAGTACATTTGGGAAGATATGTGAAATAGAAGACCAAGAGAGTTCAGTACATGAAATAAAATCCAGCAGAACAAACTCTAGCTTTATTTTTTTAAATGGGTCTTCACAAAAGTGGTTACCCTATAATATCAGTCTATTAAGAAAGAAAAAAACAACCAAACAAAAGCAACAAAAGAACCCCACCAGAACTTGTATATTTTTTGCTGTGTACAAAACCAAGTTACTGTGCTAAAATCTTGCCATGCCTGTCATAATTACAAATACTAATTTTCTGTTCTTTCGCTGAGTTTGAGTTATGTTTTATTTTTGTAGGATGTCACATGTACTTCAGTTTGAAGATAGAAGCAGAAAGGTGAAAGATGCAAGCATGCAGGATGAAGACACTTTTGAGATCTATGATCCCCGGAATCCTGTAACTAAGAGGAGAAGAGAAGAAAGCAAGAAGATAATGAGAGAAAAAAAAGGAAAGGAGATAAAAAGAATGTAAAGCTGCCTTGAAAGTGACTTCAATAAAGCACTGGCTCTTTTGTTAGCTGTAGTTCCTAAAAATATCACTGGACAAGTGTGAAAAGGAATCTCTCAAGAACCTGTCATGCAGTTTTGAAGCAGAGCTATCATTTGTTTCTTAAGTTGTGCAGTCAAGTACATTCATTATCCAACCTCTCTAAAGGTTTTTAGAATTATATATTTAGTAAAAGAGCTGACCTGAATTTTGTCTGTGCTTCAATTACAATGTCACCATCATGGTTTAATCAACATATGGTAATCAAACCATGGTAATATGGTAACATATGGTAATCAAAAATCAACATAATGAATGAGAATGTGTACAATAAGGATGAAATTAGAAGGTAGAAACCCCATTTTCAGCCTTTTTTTTTCTGAAAGTATAATTTTATTATTTTTAAAAAAGGCATATAAACATTACAGCAGTAAACACTGCGTGCCTGAACCCCTCTGTCACAGTTAAGCGTGATGCAGTGACAGAACTCCTTAGAATGGTTCCAGCTTTCTTAAACTAAGTTTAATTTGAGAATTTTGTTGTTTTCTCTTTCTTTTGAAATTAATATTCCAATACAGATCCCAGCCTGGGAAGCTGCAATAATATACAATTTGAAGAGTGTTATTTCACTAGCTGTACCACATGAACAAAAAGAGAATGCGAATGTACTGTATTGGTTGCTTAACCTGTTGCAATACCAGAAACATCCCTTTGGTAGAATTCTCGCTGTAAAGTAGCTGGTAATGAAGATTGGTTTGTTAATCAGTACAGAAACAAAAACAATATGATCAATCTTATTAAAAAGGGTTGTAACCCTGTTTTTAACAATTATTCTACCATCTAAAAATGAACAGCTCAAGTTTTCAGTTTATAGAGTTTCCACAGAATTTCCCCCCTGGGTGACAATATTTTTACAGAAAAATGGGAGTTTTCAATGCTCCTTCCTTACAGCATTTCTGATTATGCAGAAGCATGGACTACCCATGTGGGCAATAGCTAAAGAAGAATGAGCAGAAGTGAGCAAGGTCATTAAAAAGTGCAACTAGAGGAGTGTTTTGCTGATGTTTTTAGAACAAGTTCGGTAAGGTATGGTGTCCTTATCAAGCTGCCACTGCCAAATTTCTTGATAGGGTCTGAGGTGTGAGATACATAAACCTGCATTGGTGGGTTAATATGGCCCAGATGTCAGAGGTTAGATTAATACAGGCTATTGCTTTAATGTGTGGTGCAACCTTTGAGATAAGAAGAAAACTTGGGAGGTGTGATGTGAGATCCCAAATAAAGCTGTCATTATCCTCCTCTTAGGCCAAGTGAATTATACTGTACCACGGTGTAAAGAAGTTAAGAGGGGTTACATTCCTAAACACAGCAATTCACAAACTAGTGAGTCAAAGGTGTTTAATCATTAAGTCATTTTCGGGTGGGCTGTTCTTGGCAAAATCAAGAACATCTAATGTTACATGCTGTTATCTCTATTCATTGTTTTGTGTAGAAAATTTTAAAACAGTCATTACAGGAAATGAGAATATTCTGATGTGGATGGGAGAGAGAATGAGTGTGTGTGTGTGTGTGTGTGTGTGCGTGTTGGCAGAGGAGGTCAGCATGGGGAAGGTGAGGACTAGGGCTAGACAGAAACTTCAGCATCAATTCCAGGAGACAGCTACTGCCCCTTTAATAGAAAAATGTTCTATTACATACTTTTCCTGTAAGTAGGATGCATAAATCAATGAATGGGCAAGTTGACTAACACCCCTTTTAGCTGAATCTTTTCGCTGACAACCTTCAGGAGCTGAGCTCTGTGTGTGCTGTATTAGATGATTCCAATTTTTAAGCACTTAGACAAGGACAGGGAGAAAAGCTTTACTCGGGTATTAAGGCTCTGCTCATCAGAAAGAGGTCTGAAATGCTGGATCTTGCATACATACAGGACTGATAATGTCACAAGAACAAGCGTGTAGCTGTGCTGACATTGTCTTGGTAAGTGAAGTGTGTATTAAAAATCAGTAAACATTTTTCCAGAGACAATATATCTTGTGTAATTAATGCTGCAGTTGAAACCAAATGTATTGGCTCTTTTAGCTAATTCTAAGTGCTACACTGTTGCTTTGTGCTAGGACAGCACAAGTGCTGGCCCCAGTAGGATGATGCTTACCCCAAGCAGCCATTTTTTCCTATGTCTAATGAATGTCACTTGAGGTGTCATGGCCATTTACTGCATTAAACCCAGCTTCCTAAGAGTAACATGGCATGTGCTTTGCACTATGGCTGTCTATTGGGATATGAAAGAGGAAGTGAGGTTTGGTTTCAGTTTGGGGGTTTTTTAAATTAAAGTTGGGACCAACTTCCCTCTAGTTTACATTTTGCTTTGTACCAAACCCATAGATAAGGGTAAGGATATCTGGATTAAATTAATTCAATTTTATTATGATTGTGAATGGAAAATCCAATTTACCTTGATGAGGACAGCTGGAAGTGCCAGGCCCTGGATGCTTTATGAAGATACTTGGATTACTTGTGTCTAAAATCAGGCCTGTATACCACAGGGGATTGGTGCCATGAGGGAGCATCAATAAGAAATGCTACAAATAAATGAATTCAAGCATTTTTTTGTTATCAATTCTAATTCTGTGTGATAAAAATATTTTATAATACTTGCTTCCTAGAAACACAGAGTCTCTAGAGAGTTTTTAGTAATTACAAGTGATATTGTTCTTCAGGGTTAATCAGCTTTGCATAGTATTTCACAGCATTCTTTGAATAAGCTTCTCTCAACATTCTTGGTTCACCTGTTTTAATGCCAATAAATATTTCTTCAAGAAAAGAAAAGGATCTGCCTTTATTGCTTCCTAGGTTAAGAACAAAACTATGCTTGTAGGAAAGAAACTGCACCTGTTCAGTAAAGTTACCTTCCATTTTAAAGGAAGACAACTTTAATTTGCATCCCTGTTCTTATTTTGTCTTCGTTCAACCCAGTGACAAAACTTTCATAGCACTAAGGACTGATACACACTACACTGTGAGAACATTAGAAATGTGTTAAAATCAAATGTGTTAAAATTTTAAAATGTATTAGCAGACAGATGATGTCAGCTAATCAACCAAAAATCACTTAGAAATGGGCTCTCTAAATTTTATTAATTTCACCATGGCAAAATAAGTTCTGTGTTTCGTTTAGGAGACATGCAGCAAAGTTATTAAAAGCTGATGTCAGAAGCACATTCTCAAGTAACTCTTTAAGCCCAACACGAAAGAGTAAAAACCTCAAAGAAAGAGGTTGAAATGATAGGTCTGTGCAACAACTAGTTTGCAGTGTCAGAGCTAGGTCCTGTACTGCCAGTAACAATGCTGCCTGTGTCCCATACTGCTAGGCTAGCAAAAGCATCTTTTGACTCAGACATTTCATTCATCATCTAGTGTTGCTATAGTTACATGAACAGATGAATGCTACAGGATTGCAATATTTTTTATAGACTACATAGAAATACATATGCTCGGATGTAACACCTTTTAATTGTCAATACTGAAAAGCAAGTGGGAGATGCAATGTGGGCAGGTGTCCCCATCTCTGTGAAGCAGAAGTCTTGTGCTAGGTTAGTGACTGAAAATGGAAGGGTTTGTGGCTGTAGAAAAAATTTGTTCTATGGTAGTGAGATTTTTCACTGAATATATTTTCTTGAATCTTTTTATTAATCAGCTGCCATCTTCTAGCCTGGTGCCTAGCACCTCACCCATTTGTATAAACATGAGCATAATTTCTACATAGCTGTAACATACAGCTAGGAACATTTGTCTATGCACTAGTAATACAAAACCAGTGTTTTGACACTTGTGAAGTTTTTCTTCCTAAAAGATGCTAATTGTGTGCACAGAGCGCCCAACTTGAAGATGCACACCACAATGCTGGTATGTAAATAATTTCTGTGAAAAAGTCACTGCTTAAAATGGCAGGATATGCTCTGCTTCCTCCCTCCTCCACTTTTTTGATTACTTATTTCAATAAGCTAAAAATGGTGTAACTACAAACTATGACTGAATTTTGAGCTTGAGCACAAAGGTCAGTGCTACCTATTTTTAGTGGCAGCTAAATTGCAATTTCAGTACATTTGCTGCCAACACAGTAGGCCAGTGTCGACAGTCTGTGAGACAAAGAATCCTTCCAGTTGTACCTTTCATGTAATGGGGACTTTCATTTCATTAGAGGGAGTTTAACTCTCCTAAATGTTAAGAAAGGGTCAGGGGAAGGTCTTGCATCCCTGCACAGAGCATTCTGTTGGCAAAGTTGCCTTCTTTTTTTCCAGACCAGCTGGATTTCAGGTAGATAAGGTCTTTCTGGGCTACATCAGGTAATAGCAAGATCCTCAAGAACAGTTTAAAGGATTGCCTCATGAATCCTGTCAGTGACCAACAGCTAGTACAGTATGCCCTTTCTGCTTTGCAGCTAAAACCCCCTTAAGTGCAACTGAAGCTGGTTTATTTCTGCCAAATAGCCACTACGCCTAGGCTCCTAGGGGTGTAGTCTGCAATGCCACTTTATGTAGCTTTCCTTGATCTCCTGGCTTGCAGCATGAGCAGGTTTGGGAAGAGATTGTTCCCATGCTGTCTCCCCAGTAGAAGCGTGTCTGAACTTGGTTAAAATTGCACACCAATGTTGTCTGCTTTGGGCTGGAGGACCTCAAGTTTGCAGGAGACACAGTTATGTTTTGGCAACATAAAACTAGCCTCAGACAGAACAGATAGCTCCAGACTCTGCCTCATTCTGGCAGAGACATGTGTGTCTGTCATTACTTAGATGATGACAGACTTGGGCCGTTAAAAGATGAGGGGACTCCTACATGTGTATTCTCGGTCAAAAAAGTAGATAGTTACTTACACCTTTCATTGTAACAAAACGAGCTGATCATACAGTGGCTACACTTACAAGGCTCCTGCTCAATTATATACAGCTCAGAGGATATAAACCAAAAAGTGAGCCCACAACTCCTGATGTTTTCTATCCTGGAGCAGAATGTTAGACCAACCATGAATATCCACCAGATGTTGCCAATTAAAGAGGCTGAGTGCGTTATATAGCCAGGACATACATTGAAAAAAGATGACAGTGAAGATCCTTGAGGAGGACTGGGAGCCCTGGCAACAAGTACTTAGCCCTACCCTGAAGTGCAGCCTCCAGCACCCTGCCCTCCTTCTCAGCATACATGTGAAGTCATTCAGGCTGCGCAGGAGGAACTGACTTACTGCAGTGCTGTTGCTGCTCCTGTGGCCTCCTCTTCCAGAAGCTACATTACCCAGGCTCAAATCAACATCTAATTTACCCTCCTCAGGCAGCACCTCAGACCAAGAAGTCCCTGGTGAGTGCATGCTCATGTCCATCAACTCTCATCCTTTTTTTGAATGTAGATGATGATCCTTTGATAACACACTCCTGCCCTGCCAGTCCCATAAGCTCACTATATCCCTTGTCAAATGCTGTAAAGTCATTCCCCTTCAGTTATTCTGGTCAGACATGCCACATTCCAACTTGCTAGTTACAAATTACTCGTGCAGACAGACAAAAACCTCGTACTGATGGTGGGGCTTTCTGGTCAAGATAACCTCGGAGCAAAATCTGCAGGGCACCCCAGGCAGATGGCATCCTGCCTGTCTGTGGCTGACAGCCTGTGCACCTCAGCTGCTGTCACAACAGAACAACTTTCTGAATTCATTTTCTTTTTCACAGTACTGTGAAGCAAATACTTGATTGTCTTGAAAGGATTTCTATTCCGTTTCTATATCCATAACAATGAGGTTTTCCATTTGGTTTTACATCTTTTTTTTTTTTTTAGAACCCTCTCACACAGCTCAAGTTTCATTTATAAGGCACATATTGGAAGAGCTTAAAAAGTTAGTGCACACTTTTGCAGGTCTTTCTTATGCATCTCACTCAGATGTGTAAGAATTGCTATTTGCCTCTCCAGACTTCACCACCACCCTGTCTTCATCACACCTTCCCTGTCAGCCACCATTACTGAAGGACCAGAGGAAGGATTCATAGCTTCCTCCTCCACTTTTCAAAATGGATAGCTTTTACAGTTATAGCTAGTCTCTGCCCCACTGTCCTCTCAAACTATCTTTATGTCTCTGTGCTTGGCTTCTCAATGCGGAGCTGAAGAATCCATGCACCCTTAGAAAAGTCACACTTAAGCTGAATTTTATTATGTGTGTGTGTAGTGTAGTTTCTGTACATACTACAAATGCAAAAAAAACCCCTCAAGTCAAAGCTTCAGTGAGTGGACATAGTTGATATTTTAACTTTATTATGTTTAAGACATTTTCTCTGTTTAAGTCACTTTTTTATTCCCGAAACAGATACCAAAATATTAGCATTGTACCCAAAATGCTTTCTCTGTTCACTCTGGATCCTACTTTTAAGTCATACATAAAGGATGAAATCTGGAAGCCGCTAGAAATACCTAATATGCCAGACTGTTACACTAAACTGATGTTACTGTACTTAAATATGAAGTGTCTGCTACTCAGAAAAATATGACCGCACAGTGAGGAACTTCTGATTGTAACCTACAATTGGTATCTGTTACTCTTCCAAGGCAGTACAGAAGTCTGAAAGCTAATGTTTAGGAAAAAAAACTTCAAACCTATCCTTTTTTTTTTTTTTTTTTTTTTTTTTTTTTTTTTAAATTGGTTGAGAGTAACCTTCTACTCCTAAAGCACTATTTTAAAAAAATCCTGAGAACCTTACCTTAACAACTTTAAATTTACAGACATGGAAGGGGACTACAAAAAAAGAGCACCTTCTGAAATTTAAAAAAAAAAAAAAATCTGCTCTTAAACCTCAATGCATTAAAAAAAAAAAAAAATTGCATTTTTACGAATAAACTCTCCAAACCTAAATGAAGGAATTTTGCAGTATGGGGAAGGTAGAGGGAAAATCTAATGTTCTTGACTTAGAAGATCATATGGAAGAGAAAACAAGTGTGATATAAAGAGCTTCTACTATGGTTCCTATTTTTAATTTATAAAATGTTCTGGCTGTAGAACAAAGCAAGATACAACAGTCATATTCATCAGTCATGAACTTGAAAGTCCAGTTCAGTATTCATAAGGTTATTTAAGCAGTACACTTGCGCCCCTTTATGATTTGTTTGTAGTACTAAAAGGGCACAGTTACAGAGTAGCCCTAGGATAGTCTTTAATTTTGGCAGCTTCATTTTGGGAGAAAAAAAAGCATGAAAAGCTGAAGATCTTTATATTGAACGCAGTCTGGAAGAACACGTTTTTGCAGCAGCTATTGAAAACTTGGCTCCAAAATTATGTATGCTTTTCTTCAGAAGTAACTTCTGCGTCAAACAGCTTTTAACACAACATTGCACTTGGATACTTTTTTCACCTGCTTGGGCTGAGTGCCTCTCTATGTTCTTGGCAAGCAGTAAGAGACACTAATTCACAAGCGATCTTGTATTTTTTCCATTTCTTCTTTTTTTGCAGCTTCACTGTATGAAAGGCCTTTGTGATCTGACCTGTGTTATCGGGTATTGTGCTGTACCGTCTCTGAAGTCATTTTACGGGAATGACAGAGACTAACAGTCACTGTATGCATAGTCATTTTAAAAAATATTTCCATTACAGCTATACTATACTTGCCCTTACATTTACAGGCTATACAAACCAAAAAGTTTACATATTAAGCACAAGAATATTTCAAATGATAGAGCATAGGTTAGTCCCATCTGTTGTTATGAACTGGAATCAGCTTGACAACATGCTATAGTAAGCATGAACATCTAAATAATGATTCAGGGCAGTGAGCTGGTAAATGGGATAGTCAACTATAATATCTATCCCT